CTAACTAGTAGTATGGGTAAGGTACGTAACGTAAGTACAATATCATGTCCGTTTCTTACGTTAATTACTAAATAACTTACTATATATATATATATATATATATATATATATATATATATATATATCAATAAGCTTATCATCAAAACAATTTATAATTCACATTTTTATTATTATCGAAAATAATTAATTTTAAAAGAAAATATAGAAATAAATTCTCAATCTTCACTTGTCACATGGTGTATCTGCACTCAAAATTATTCATTTTAGACTTACTTTTTACCCTTACATGATTTTCTGAGTGTCCAACTAATTAGAAACTCATAGATGTCAAGAAGCCACAATATAAACTTAAATCCTCCAATATTTTAATGAGATACAAAAAATAAAATTTCAAGCCCACATATTCAACCCTCCCTTGTTATTATGCCTTTCAATAAATATCAATAATTACCTGTGACAATAGAAAGAGCAGTCTTTTCATTATATGGTTATTTTGTTTTACTGCTCATAAGTAGACATTTATCCTCACTTTCATTATTTGAAATTGTGTTCTGCTCAGAACTGCTAACAGAACATTTTTAACCTATTTACAACTTGGTTAGAAAGACAGTTAAATTACAGTAGTTTTGGGACAATTAATTCAAGTGCCTGATATATCTTGTGTGTCCTAAAATGCATAGTATGAAAAGCCTTGTACTAATAAAGTACCACCTCAAGTACAAATTACTGAAACAGGCTTCAGCTCTAATATAAGTCCACAGTTTCTTGTTTTTCATGTACATTTTTTATCATTATATATCTTGTTATTATAAATAACTAAAATGTAAAAATTAAAACTTATGAGGTAAAATAACAAAAAGTAAATGAAAAAATTGAATATGAAAATTTAACAAAAGCATATTGTAACCTGATTGGTTGTTTACACTAGCTTCTCCAGCTGTGGTTATTGCCTGCCACGTGCATAGACACAGACTAAAGCAGATATGAAATGGTTAGATACCCGAGGCTGTACTGATAAATACTGTAATTATATGTTACAATATGTAGTCATTCTAGAAAAAAAGTATCATTTATTGTACTTCATATTTTTCAATTTGTTTGTTTGATGAATTCACTATAGTTATTGTTAGGGTAAAGAAAATAAGAGCTAAAATATAAAATTTTACCCCCAAAACTTTTGATATTCATTAATGAGGTTATGCAGCTGAAATATGAAAACTTTAAGATGAAAACAAGTATTTTCAGTTTTAGAATGAAAATTATCTTTCAATGACACTGACTCAGTAAAGGCTTAATATATTCACAGACAAATGTAAAGAACAAGTATTTTATTAGAAAATTTGTTGTTGTTTTTTTTTGTACAACAAAACTGTAGTTTTTACTAAAAGCCTGTCAGATTTCGTGAGGATACATTTCCTACATTCAGAGTTATAGTATGTACAGTTTAATGGTTGCATGGTTGTCACAAGCTCAGTCAAAATGACCAAGCTTGTATATACATACATGTGTGTGTGTGTTAACAAATAGTTATTCTAAATTTTTTAAATGCTCTTGTAAGTTATATAGTGATAAATAAAAACAAATTGAAGTATTTTATTTATATACTTTGTTTACTCATATGTGATTATAATTTGACAAGAACTTACGGACATAACAGGACAGTTATTGTGAAAAAATTAATGAAATAAATTATTTTAAATAAACTCTAACATGCTCTTTGATCTTCCTAGATTTAAATTATTTTCATTCCAACAAACACTGAAAATGTAAATTTTCAAAACTTAAATAAGTACTTAGATGCACAATAAAATAAAATATCTATATTACTTAAAAAGGTGTTTTACAAAAAAGTATACAAAATAATGTTGAATTAGATATGAATAAGGTTATTCGGAATACAACTGTGTATTATATAATGAGATAACAAACTGGCCAAAAAAAAACTGAGTTTTACTGATAAACATAAAATTGTAAAGATGGAGAAAACTTTTAAATCTTCATCAACAGTATAATATGTATATATTTCAATCGATTCTACTTACTTGTTGATATGTCATAGATGATCAAACGTTAAATAGTATAGTAATTCCATAACCAAATTGCAAAAACATTCAACAGTTTCAACAATGGTACACAATTTTAAGTAACCAGTCACTATCATATAAAAATTATGCCTATTCAAAATTATACTTACAAATGAAATTTTCCCATGTTAACCTTATCCCAAAGTACTACACTACAAGTGCCTGTGTTGTCTCCAACCTCTAAATATCCCTATGTGATAAAAAAATATATATATATATATCAATCATGCGCACAATTACTTAATCATTTTCAAGTCTTAAAATTCAAAAGAAAATTTCACTTTTTTTTTGTTAAACTATGAGATTATTTTAAATCAATTTTGTCTGGAAACAAAGTGTCAAGATTAAAACATGTTTAATTTAGGTTAATTCTCATACCACAAACAATGTAATACAACTCTGTGAGATTTGGTATTTTTTGCTATTTCTAGAAGAATCTGTACCAAGATGCAATCGAACTACCTGTGAGCTTTTAAAAACAGGTTGAAACCAACTCTCACATACTACCTCAATAACAATTGGCAAACCTAATAAATAACTGAAGGTCATTTATACCAATGATCAGTCATTTTATTTTCTCAAATAATACTAATTCCCAATTTTGTGATGCAAACATCACAGCATTTAGATTAAAAAAACTATTTTTAACTTTCATGTTTTAATTCAGATCCCATTTTGTATATAGCATATGAATTATATATTCAATACACAGAAAACAATTCCTCATAGCACATTTATAAGTTCCTGTTTTTCAAACTATATCAGCATTTCTTTCTTAATAGGCTCCTAATATAATACTAAAGTACCAAACAATTATTTCTGCATCGACTTCTTAGTCATGATAGGTTTTAACTGAGTGTGTCTCAAATTGTTATCAAAAGTACAACATTAGAATAACTTAATTCTTACCAGTGGAACACATGCTTTTGATATGCATAATATTGACATAGGTACAGTTTGCAGTAGCTCAAACAGTGGAAAAACATATTGTTAAAATATCTTCACAACAAGATTATGCATATAAAAATCTCAGATTCATTAGCTATGTCAAACTTGGTGAAATAAATGTAGAGTAAACAGAAGTTCCAGAAGATGACAAGAATGATGTTGAACTTCAGTAGGCCATTAATTTAAAAAAAAATCAGCTTCTTATCTATTTAATACCCCTTGTATGCTAAAAATGTAAGTTAAGAAGCACATCTTTTACTTAACTTCACAATCTAGTTTTAATGTGTGCTGTCTAAGTTAGTTTATCAAACTTGAAATGACTTGTAATTTCTAATTTCCATAATTAGTCTAGCATATATTTGTAGTCAGGTAATTTTTGTAAATTTCCATGTGGGTGTTTTGCACAAACTAGATTATATCCTTGTAAACTGGTTGATGAAAGTTCATAAACATGTTCTAATCCCACAGAAGCTTATACAAGTTTTGGTCTTTTTCTGTGTCAAGGCAAGTTCATCTCAAGGAGCAACACAGGTAGTTGTAGAATTAAGTATGAGTTAGGTTCTCCCCCTTGAATATGTTGCTGATGTAGATAATTAATGATTGTGAGATAGTGCACTTGAGCTTTGTCTGGCTTGAAAGTGTAACATAAAATTATTATTCTTGTCTCCATTCTGTACAGATATTTAGGAAATCCTTCTTCCATTCCAGTAGCCAGCATTAGTCATTACAAGAAAGTTCTATGCCAGCCAGCCACTATGTAAAATACACCACATGTTCCCAATTACAAATTTTGTTTACTTGTCTTTACTGCCAATGATTGACTTATTCTTAATAGTCCTGAACACATGATTTAGAGATAATTTATTTGTTGGTCATCGGTGAGCTTAACTACCATAAAAGTATTAACAAATTAACCTTAATGTTACAGGATATACCCAAAGGGCCTAAAGCGTAACCATCAAAATAACTGTGAGATTAGTCACACTATAACTTTTGAGAATGTATGTGTATTTTAACAGAACTTTACAAACTTTCAATAAGCATTACAAGAGTTTTGTACACAAAACATTTGCTATGGGTATCTTTTTTGGCACATGGCATGAGCTTTTAATGAGTTACATTCAAAATTTAATTAAACTACTTTCTTATCATAATATACAAATAAATTTGGCATAAAAACATAGCTACAAATCCAAATTTTAATAGTATACAAGTTTAAGTTCTTAATTTTATAAAGCAATATTAAAAAAGAATCTTTGATTTCCCCTCATGTGAGAATTTTGACATTTGCTATCTAGGTATCCCCTGTTCTCTAATTCATTTACTACACCTCCGAGAAGTATGAAATTTAATACAAATTACTCCTTATAATGTTTTCACCTCTCAGGCAAAGTTGAATTTTTACAGCCTTCAATTTTATTTGGTTACAGAGCCATAAAATACAAAATCAAACCCCTTTTCCCATACCCACCCATCACATCTTCTCTTTCAGAAATTGCAACAGTTCTCACTGATGGTTAACACTATATTATTTATAACCAATAGAAAGACAAAATTATAATTTATCAAATGTCTATTGTACTTCCAATTCAAACTTTATTCCCACAGGAAACACATGAACGAGCTTTACTAAATTTTTAACGGCTCTTGTCACATAGTTAAAAAACCAGAAACATTATGATAGTTATGAAACATTCTCTGCTTTTTGCATGTTATTATACTGTGTTCACTGGTGTTATGCAGTAATACCATTAGTATAAAAAAGTAGGGTTAAGTGTCATTGACAGTCATCAGCAAAGAAAAAAAAGAAGACACAAGTTAAGTACTATATTTCTTATTTTTCATCTGTATTTTTGTTTATTATTATAAAAGAAACTAAAATGTAAAAATTAGAAACTTTCTGGGTTAGATAAAGTTAGATTATGTAAAATAAAGAATAACAAGAAGAAAATGTTTTCACAAGTTTTACACATGTGAATAACTCGCATATATCCTGTGCATTATGTAATTCAATAGGGTAATGTGAACTCCATGTTTGCCAAGTGATTTGCAAATTTTATGGAAAAAATGTCAGACACGGTTCAAAGAGCAATAAAACAATAAAATTTAAGTATAAACAAATGTTGTTTCTTGTTACAATTTGAAGTCATTCTTGAAAAAAAAGTAAGTTAGATTTATTTCAATTTGTTTTTTTTTGGTAATTACAAGGTCGGTCAAATTGACCAATTTTGTAAAGTGCTAGGGTAGAGAAAATAAAGATAAAATATAAAGTTTTGCTGAAAAAAAACATTTGAAATTTATTTCGAAGATTAAAGATGTTACGCAAATGAAATGTGAAATTTTTCAGATGAAGAAGATTATTTTTAATCTTAACATGAAAATCACTTTGCACTTTGAGTAGTCAACATTTGGACTATATATTCTTAGAGAAATTTTTAGCAAAAATACTTCCTTAAAAATTCTGATTTTTTTCTCTACAAATTACTCTTAATGATTAATGAAATCTTGTGAAATTTGATGAAGATAAACAAAATTTAAGAAAAGTTATAGTACAAAAACTATAAAGGTCAATTTTGGGTCATGAACTTGGATGATTCAATTGAGTCTGTAGCGAAAAAGGTATTATAGCTAAAGAATTGTTCACGATTTTGCTAGTCAATTTTTGTTACAAACTCATTGAACATAAGGCAGTGATTCACAACTGGTGCTATTATTATTTTTGTAGACCATACTGAGATACTTTCAAGAGCAAACAAGCAGATGTTATGGACACCACTTATGCCTACAGTGACATTTCAGTTACCAAACATTACACATGTATATATATATATATTATTACTATTTACTCTTTTTCTATTACTATTTACTATTTTTCTTAAAACATAGAACAGTTGATAATAAAAATATATATTGCCTTGATCACCACACTTCAAACTCTCCAACACTATAATGGCTTTCTCTGCATCTATAATTTAGGAAGACTGACAGTATTACGTAGTTCAAAATGAGCCCTTTCAATTGGTTATAAACATGTATGTCTAAATCACAAGTCTACGTATAGAAGTTGAGTGTCAGACTGAGATTCTTCTTGGGACATGATTTCTGTGTTTGTGGATTCTCGCAAATTACAAGACACCATACTTTTCTTATCACAGCAGGAGTACAACTTGTTGCAGGTCTCTTTTTTTGGATGGTCTTTGTGCCCAAAGTGAATTCATAATCCTTTGCTTTCCAATGCCATTAAGTAGATATCTGTCTTGGAAATCTTTAAGCTCCAATCTGAACAAATATTTATGATCAAAGTGTATGAATATTTTGCATCAGAAAGGACTGTTACATATGCTTCCCAACATCAATCTATTTTTTGTAGCATCACGCTACCAATGAAGATCCAAACAATGTCAAAATGTAATTCTGATACATTCTGTTCCACTATGACTTTGTATCAACTTTGGTTTTTATGTGATTTTCTGATCTACATATTCAAAATCGTTTTAATAAAACATACATCTCTTTAGAGTAGAATATATAAAGACCACTTAATTTATTATAATTGCATAATTTATTAATTTCTTCCCCTCAGAAGAAAAACAAAACTCATTAACACAACTCTCTTATGGTATTCTCAGGTACATTGATTACCTACAGTTAAGCATAGTAACTGTTCTAAGAAGAGGTCCAATAGAAAATGTATTGCAGAGAATATCTTATCTTTGACTTCACTAAATTAAAGAAAAAGACTGGACTACGTAGCAACATGTAAAATAATTTATTAACCTCACAACACAAGATGTATCAAGGAACATGTTGATTCCAGTAGACATGTGCAAATAAATTTTATGATGATTGCACTTCTGGTGATCTACAGAGATCTGAACAAAACACTAACAGTAGAAAATGAGATAAGAAGAAGAATTTATTCAATCAAAGAATGATACTATATAAACTGAATCAGTCCGAGTGCACTTTGACAAAAGGAACAGCGGATATTCAGAAGAAAGACCAAATGATTACTGGAAGAGTAGTATGTGACTGCAGTAACTTGTGTCACGATTGTAAGTGATTCACACACAGAGTACTAGTGTGATAGTAATAGAGAAGATAGTTTGGCTTCTCAACTGAAATTCTAAAGCAGTTGAATAGGCCTAAGGGGATATTTGACAAGAAGGAGAACTATATATAAATAATGTTTATGATATGCTTGTAATCTCTATAGTGTGAAGCATTTATTGTACATATGTT